GAGGTGTCTAACCCGTTGTCCCACGCAGGAGCATCAGGCTGGGAGCTAGGTGTAGCGCCCGGGCCTTCCCAAATTTGACGGGCCTGCAATTCACCAGTAAAAGGGGGGTGGTCAGAGCTATACCTATTTTGGCAGAGACTCAGCTCTTGCAAAAGGTTAGGGGACTTCCGTTTCCCAGGCAGCTGTAGGGAACCGGGGTTCTCTAACGTGTGGCCGGGATACGGCCCAGGCCATGGCTTTCCGAGAAGGCCTTTCAGTCCAGGGTCTCGAAGGCAGGAAACTCAATCTTTTTAGGGGGTGATTCTTTAGGCAAAGGCTGGTAGGCGGCTCGTGTGTGTGTGTGTGTGTGTGTGTGTGTGTGTGTGTGTGTGTTTACCTTGACTAGAAACGCCCTGTGTTTTGTGTCTTAACTATAGGAAAACTTTTCCTGTGTGATTTCGCCTCCCCTAGTTAACAGTTCTGAAGATGTGCCTATAGTCAACCAATTAGAAACTTTTAGTTTGACATCTGTTGCTGCAGCTTCTTGATTAGGAGTTGGAAATGAGCTAAGGGGTATTTAATGTTCAGGTAGGACCTCCTAACATCCCTTCTCTTTTAGGACCAAAATTTGTCCACTGTGGAGGGAAATCAGAGGTGGCTTGTTCAACTGAAAGGACTCCCTTTTCCACTTCTGATTTTACAGTGGAAACTGAGGCCCAGAGATAGGCAGTGCCAGTGCCAAAGTCACTCAGCACCTAATAGGCCAGTTAATTTCTTAACCCCATTATCTGATTTACTTCCAAGCCCCATGCTTAATTAAGTCTTTGGTAAATAAAAAAAAAATTGGCCCTGTTCTTTCTTCCAGGCTCTTCCCTCCCACCCTCAATTTTTTAAAAGTTAATTATAATACACTTACAATTCTTGAATGGAAAGCTGTTATTTTAAAATGGTCAGGGTGGGTTAATGGCTTTATTATTACAAACCTCTATCAATGAATAAGTGAATGAATGAACGAGAGCAAACAGCTGACTAGATACTAAGGTGGTCCGGATTAGGGCACATGTTGAAGTGAAATGCTTAATTCTAAGCAATGAACTCAGCCTCTTGAAAACACTGCCTACCTTCTGTGTAGGTTGTTGGGAGCCTTCACTTGAGCAGCTTATGATAATAATATTTTCCAATCCTTAAGAAAAAGAATTTTCCAGTTCTTTTAAACCTTTTGGAAGCTGTCACATCTGAATGAATGTGCTGCTGCGATTGGGGCTCCGTGTACCCAGTGACCCCACTGGAGAAGCCTGTGCTGGGCCACGTTGAGTGTTTCTCACACACTGTCTAGAAGAGAAGCAGCCTACGCCTGGCACTGCACTTCCCAAAAGGCAATGCTTCTGAAGGAGTAGGGTTTCGAGGTGGAATCTCTCACGATTCGTTTCAAGGTGGTGTAGAGTCATTATTTCTGAAAGGGATTCTATTTCATTCTCACAGGCTTGGGCAGGAATTCAATTCTAAGGAACTGCTGTGTTACAGGAATGTTTAGCTGTTGTAGAAAATGAAATAGGAAAAATAAACAGTAGAGCCCTTGCTACCACCCTTCTTTCTCCACCCACCCCCAAAGGCCACTGAGCTCTGAAGTTTCTGAAAACCAGTATGTACTTGAAAGTGGTTAAGTAGAAATAGTAACTATTTATCTTGTAAAAGGGTGTAGCAGGGAGCTTTTTTAAAGAATAGCACCAAAAATCCAACTTGGGCAGCTTAACTCATTTTATGTAGACATTGGCAGTGTTCTGTGATTTATTAAGATACTAGAGGCCTGGTGCACTACATTCGTGCACTGGGGGGACGAGGGGTCCCCTCCATCCGGCCTGCGCCCTCTCGCAGTCCTTAGCGCTGCTGCAGCCCGCCACAGCAGCTGCACTCACCAGCCGTGAGCCCGGCTTCTGGCGGCTTCTGGCTTCTGGCTGACCGGTGCTCCCCCTGTGAGAGCGCACTGACCACTAGGGGGCAGCTCCTGTGTTGAGCGTCTGCCCCCTGGTGGTCAGTGCATGTCATAGCGACCAGTCGTTCCCCTGTTTGGTTGATTTGCATATTAGGGTTTTATTATATAGGATAACATGCTTTTAAACAGTCCTCTAAATCAACATATTCTGGCTTTTTTTCTGGAGAAAAGTGGAAGTATAAAGAAATTGTTGGGAGTAGGAAAGAAACATATGCCAGGGTCAAAAGACCTGAGTGGCCTTAGCCAGGTCATTTCCCTACTCTGGGTGGCTTCAGTTTTATTCTCTCTAACAGTGGTTCTCAACTCTGTGGGTTGCGACTCCTTTGGGGGTCGAACAACCTTTTCACAGGGGTCGCTTAAGACCATCCTGCATATCAGATATTTACATTATGATTCATAACAGTAGCAACATTACAGTTATGAAGTAGCAACGAAAATAATTTTTATGATTGGGCCCTAACCGGTTGGCTCAGTGGCTAGAGCGTCGGCCTGCAGACTGAAGGGTCCCAGGTTCGATTCCGGTCAAGGGCATGTTCCTTGGTTGCGGGCACATCCCCAGTAGGAGTTGTGTAGGAGGCAGCTGATCGATGTTTCTCTCTCATCGATGTTTCTAACTCTCTATTCCTCTCCCTTCCTCTCTGTAAAAAAATCAATAAAATATATTTTTTTAAAAATAATAATTTTATGGTTGGGTCACAACATGAGGAACTGTATTTAAAGAGCCAGAAGGTTGAGAACCACTGCTCTAGAAAGTGAGATTGGGACCAGCGAGGTTGCACTGGTGATTGCTAAATTCTCCTCCATCTAGCATTCCATTATTCTATTATCTTGACCTGAAATCTCCCAGCCACAACTCTAGGAAATCACCTCTTCTGCCTCCTACAAGGTTTGTCTCTGTGAATTTAAGGAGCAGTTCAGTCTCTTAGGGTTTACATGTGGAACTGGCTAACATGAGGCCAGCTTCCTATCAGGGAAGTAGAGTATGCTGAGAGTTGCTCTCTTCCCTAATAATGTCCAGTGGTATATAAATCAAGTAGATTCTTAGGGAGAGTGACACATTGCTGTGTCTGAAAGACCTTTGACAGAGTTGAATCTGGCAAAGCTGTCCCAATTTGTAACCATATGTAAATGGTGACTTTTACTGGCCTAAACTGCTTTTAGATGCAAGGGATGCTTATGTTGATGGGACAGCTTTTATTGAGCACCTACTATCTGCAAGACACCATCATAGCATTAAAAAACGACTCATGACTCACTAATCCAACCACATGAAAGTGGTAATTCATTGGAATAAAAAGCAGTTTTTGTTATTTTCTCCATGAAAAGGCCTGAATTAATTGATGCTGGTTTCCTATCAGCTTACTCTTTAAGAATTTAAGGAATAAACTGAAATTCAGAAGCCTCTCAAGAACATCTGTGCAGCATCTGTTTCAGTGTCAACAGCCCCAAGTCATTTCCACAGGCATTCGGTTTCTGTTAGGTTTTTGAATGTTTCCCCCAGTCAAGCTGGTACCAACATTCTTAAATAAAAGCATGTTCTTCACATCTCAGCTGCTGTGCCACCTTCACTTATTATTCTGCCTCCAGTCTGTATTAGAAAGTCAGCAGCAGGGGGCAGCTTCTTCTGTGTGGTTCCACCTTGTGAGAATGTCTGCCTCTCTCTCCACTTCTCTTTGTGGAGCAGCTGTGAGGTAATGCAATAATTAGAAGCGGGTGCTCAGAAATAAAGTATTTCAGAGAGTTGTCATCCTGTTATCAATGTCAAAATAGTGTGTCCCATATCCCATTACCATAGTCCCTCTCCTGCTTTATTTTTTTTTTTTTAAGTTCGCAACTCCTACAGGTATGAAAATGTCCTATCGCTCCCAGCTTCAAAAACCTTGGGGGACTCTGTCTCATCTGAAGGAAAGTCAAAGCTGTTCTGATGTGCATCCCACCCCCCAATTTCTCCCTACATGGGCAGTGACCTCCGCCTAATACTGTCTAATCTGGGGCTCCTTCACTCACACCTCTGTCATCTTCACCTGAAGCTCTAAGTCTTGGCTCTTTGCATCTGGAATGCTTCCTGTCTACCTTACAGTAGGGGACCTCCCCCTAATGATCTCTGCTGTGGGATCTCTCCTTGCTGACTGTGGACCACAGGTTTATAATACACCCCAATGTGATGGGAGTGTTCTCTTTGTGGGTGTCCTGTTCTGCAGCTCAGTAGGAAACGTCTGAAAATATGGCCTGCTCCTTGTTCTTCCTCCTCCCTCTCCAGTCCCTGGAAAAGGAGAGAAGCCCATTAAATTGACAGATGCTCTTTCCATGGAATTGGCAACTCTGACTTTTATTTGCTTCCCATCAGGTAAGGCACCTGTATATCTGCGATTTCCACAAAAATTTCATCCAAAGTGTACGAAATAAAAGGAAGAGGAAGACAAGTGACGATGGTGGAGATTCTCCTGAGCACGACACTGACATTCCTGAGGTAACGGTCAAAAGCATCGGCTTGAGAAAGCTGGAAGGATGGGTTCTAATCTGGTCCTTACCTCTGGCCTGGTCTGCTTTTTTGTGCTAAAAAGTCATTTTAGTCCCTTTGTTTTGCTGTGGTTTATTTGAAACGTGAATCACAGAATCAGAGTAATACTGAATCTGAGAGCTGAACGCTTAGAAATGGACTGGTCTGACTGCCCCATCATTTTACAAATGGGCACAAGGACCTGAGGTCACACGGACAGTTTGGGGGCTCCGGTCTGGTGCCCTTTTCAGTAGCCACACAGCCTTTTTGTAAGAAACCCCTGGCAAATGGTTAAATCCAACCACAGTGTCAAGTTTTTTCAAACTTTGTTTTTGTCTTAAAGTTGGAGACTGAGTTTGTATGGTTTGGGGAAGTCACTTCCCCTCTGTTTTCTAGGCTGCAAAATGAAGGCATAAGTTGTCAGTTTATCCCAGCTCTGATTTTCTGTCACTCTCCAATTCCTGGTCCAGGCTTGTTCCCAAGGATCATTCCAAAGTCATTATACTGGACCAGAGTTCTCAACCCTGGCACTATTAACATTTGGGGCCAGGTAACTCTTGTTGTAGGGGCTGTCCTGTGAATTGTAGGATGTGTAGCAGCATCCCTGTATTCTACCCACTGGATGCCAGTCACACCACTCCCTGAGTCATGATGATAAAAAAATGTCTCCAGACATTGCCCAATGTTCTCGGGGTAAAGGTGGGGGACAGAATTGCCCCATGTTGAGAACCACTGCACTAGACGATGAGACCTAGGCTTCTCAAACCAGAGGCCGCCTTTCCTTCAGAGTGCCAGTGTCCATTAAACAAGGCTACAGGAAGGAATATCGGATTCTTTTTCTACTTAAATTGTTTTCACTTAAGACTCAGCAAAGAAGAACTGTTTATAGTGTACATTGAATATTTGACGCATGAATATTTCATAAGGCAATGGCCTTTTAGCACTCAGTGGAAATGACTGTAGGAATAGAAAGAGTAGGCGGGCTTTTATCTGCAGATGAGGAAACCTTTGAAAATATAGCCCTTACCCTCTGCCCCTCCCTATGCCCCTTTTTTAATATTGGTTTAATGTATCTTCCAATTGCCTCTAGCATTATTAAATTTTATAAAGAAATGGATGTATTCAATTTCTAAATGCTTTTCACAAAATAAAAAAAAGAAAAAGGTTTGAGGAATGTTTTGAAAAGAATGAAGGACTTTGGTCCCTCATATTGATCATTCATTTTGTTTTTAAGTGCTCTCCACCTGCCTGAAGCAAGAACATCTCTTTTAGAGGCAGGTAAAGGCAGCCCAACTTTCTGGGCCTTCAATGTTTCATGACTGTGCAGCTTTCCTCTCTTCTGTGTTAGGAGAAAAAGGGGGGGTCCTTTCCCCTTTGTTATCCAGTCATCTGCAGAGACCCTGACCCTAACCTGCTGATTTGTACACTCGCCACAGTAGCTTTTGAGCTTTCTCTGGAGGGTTGTTAAGGATTCTAATACCTGAAGGCTGAGCCTAGGAAATCACTATTTGAGAATAACAGTACTTCCCACTGTTCTTCACGCTTCTCTATCCAGTCTGCTGCCAAACTCTGGCCTGTCTTCCTTCAGGATGTCTGTCTGGTTTGACCTTTGCTCATGCCTGGTTTCCCCCTCTAGTATCACCACCCCTCCAAAGCTCTGCTTCATCATCTCACTTCTGGATCGTTGCTACAGCATCTCCCTCTGCCTGTCCCCGCCCATCAAACCACCTCTAGATCCATCTTCCTGGAACATCACCTGGCATGCTACCACCCAGTTTCACTCCTTAACCCCATCAGGATTGCTTATGACCACCTAGCCCATCTATTCATTTCCTGGCTTTCTGGGGTTCCATGAAATTCTCAC